CCGCATTAGTACAATCCATGGCTATCAGATACACTGCATTTGTACAATCCATGGCTACCAGATACACTGCCTTTGTAAATCCATGGCCGTTAGATACACTGCATTTGTACAATCCACAGCTATAAGATACACTGCATTTGTACAATCCATGGATTTCAGATACACTGCATTTGTACAATCCATGGCTATCAAAAACACTGTATTTGTACAATCCATGTCTATCAGATACACTGCATTTGTTTAATCCATGGCTATCAGATACACAGCATTTGTACAATCCACGGCTATCAGATACACTGCATTTGTACAATCAATGGCTACCAGATACACTGCATTTTTACAATCCATGGCTATCAGAAACACTGCATTTGTACAATCCATGGCTACCAGATACACTGTATTTGTACAATCCATGGCTATCAGATACACTGCATTTGTATAATCCATGGCTATCAGATACACAGCATTTGTACAATCAATGGCTATCAGAAACACTGCATTTGTACAATCCACGGCTATCAGATACACAGCATTTGTATAATCCATGGCTATCAGATACAGAGCATTTGTACAATCAATGGGTATAAGATACACTGCATTTGTACAATCCACGGCTATCAGATACACTGCATTTGTACAATCCATGGCTATCAGAAACACTGCATTTGTACAATCCATGTCTATCAGATACACTGCATTTGTATAATCCACGGATATCAGATACACAGCATTTGTACAATCCATGGCTATTAGATACACTGCATTTGTACAATCCATGTCTATCAGATACACTGCATGAGTACAATCCATGGCTATCAGAAACACTGCATTTGTACAATCCACGGCTATCAGAAACACTGCATTTGTACAATCCACGGCTATCAGATACACTGCATTTGTACAATCCATGGCTATCAGATACACATAATTTGTACAATCAATGGCTATCAGATACACTAAATTCGTACAATCCATAGTTATCAGGTACACTGCATTTGTACAATCAATGGCTATTAGATACACTGCATTTGTACAATCCACGGCGATCAGATACAGTGCATTTGTACAATCCATGGCTATCAGATACACTGCATTTCTATAATCCATGGCTATCAGATACACAGCATTTGTACAATCAATGGCTATAAGATACACTGCATTTCTACAATCCACGGCGATCAGATACACTGCATTTGTACAATCCATGGCTATCAGAAACACTGCATTTGTACAATCCATGGCTACCAGAGACACTGTATTTGTACAATCCATGGCTATCAGATACACTGCATTTGTATAATCCATGGCTATCAGATACACAGCATTTGTACAATCAATGGCTATCAGAAACACTGCATTTGTACAATCCACGGCTATCAGATACACAGCATTTGTATAATCCATGGCTATCAGATACACAGCATTTGTACAATCAATGGGTATCAGATACACTGCATTTGTACAATCCACGGCTATCAGATACACTGCATTTGTACAATCCATGGCTATCAGAAACACTGCATTTGTACAATCCATGTCTATCAGATACACTGCATTTGTATAATCCACGGATATCAGATACACAGCATTTGTACAATCCATGGCTATTAGATACACTGCATTTGTACAATCCATGTCTATCAGATACACTGCATGAGTACAATCCATGGCTATCAGAAAAACTGCATTTGTACAATCCACGGCTATCAGAAACACTGCATTTGTACAATCCACGGCTATCAGATACACTGCATTTGTACAATCCATGGCTATCAGATACACATCATTTGTACAATCAATGGCTATCAGATACACTACATTCGTACAATCCATAGTTATCAGGTACACTGCATTTGTACAATCAATGGCTATTAGATACACTGCATTTGTACAATCCACGGCGATCAGATACAGTGCATTTGTACAATCCATGGCTATCAGATACACAGCATTTGTACAATCAATGGCTATCAGATACACTGCATTTGTACAATCCATGGCTATCAGAAACTCTGCATTTGTACAATCCATGGCTATCAGATACATCGCATTAGTACAATCCATGGCTATCAGAAACTCTGCATTTGTACAATCAATGGCTACCAGATATACTGCCTTTGTAAATCCATAGCCATTAGATACACTGCATTTGTACAATCAACAGCTATAAGATACACTGCATTTGTACAATCCACAGCTATAAGATACACTGCATTTGTACAATCAATGGCTATTAGATATACTGCATTTGTACAATCCACGGCTATCAGATATACTGCATTGGTACAATCCATGGCTATCAGATACACTGCATTTGTACAATCAATGGCTATCAGATACACTGCATTTGTAAAATCCACGGCTATCAGATACACTGCATTTGTACAATCCACGGCTATCAGATACACTGCATTTGTAAAATCCATGGCTACAAGATACACTGCATTTGTATAATCTTTGGCTATTAGATACACTGCATTTGTACAATCAATGGCTATTAGATACACTGCATTTGTACAATCCACGGCGATCAGATACACTGCATTTGTACAATCCATGGCTATCAGATACACTGCATTTGTATAATCCATGGCTATCAGATACACAGCATTTGTACAATCAATGGCTATTAGATACACTGCATTTCTACAATCCACGGCGATCAGATACACTGCATTTGTACAATCCACGGCTATTAGATACACTGCCTTTGTACAATCCATGGCTATCAGATACACAGCATTTGTACAATCAATGGCTATTAGATACACTGCAATAGTACAATCCATGGCTATCAGAAACACTGCATTCGTACAATCCACGGCTATCAGATACACTACATTTGTACAATCCATAGTTATCAGGAACACAGCATTTGTACAATCAATACCCATTAGATACACTGCATTTGTACAATCCACGGCTATCAGATACACAGCATTTGTACAATCCATGGCTATCAGATACACTGCGTTTGTACAATCAATGGCTATCAGATACACTGCATTTGTAGAATCCACGGCTATCAGATACACTGCAGTTGTACAATCCACGGCTATCAGATATACTGCATTTGTACAATCAATGGCTATTAGATACACTACATTTGTACAATCCATAGTTATCAGGTACACAGCATTTGTACAATCCATGGCTATTAGATACACTGCATTTGTACAATCCACGGCTATCAGATACACTGCATTTGTACAATCCATGGCTATCAGATACACTGCATTTGTACAATCAATGGCTGTCAGATACATTGCATTTGTACAATCCACGGCTATCAGATACACTGCATTTGTACAATCCATGGCTATCAGATACACTGCATTTGTAAAATCCATGGCTACAAGATACACTGCCTTTGTAAATCCATGGCCATTAGATACACTGCATTTGTACAATCCACAGCTATAAGATACACTGTATTTGTACAATCCATGGCTATCAGAAACACTGCATTTGTACAATCAATGGCTATTAGATACACTGCATTTGTACAATCCACGGCTATCAGATACACTACATTTGTACAATCCATAGTTATCAGGTACACTGCATTTGTACAATCAATGGTTATTAGATACACTGCATTTGTACAATCCACGGCTATCAGATACACTGCATTTGTACAATCCACGGCTATCAGATACACTGCCTTTGTAAATCCATGGCCATTAGATACACTGCATTTGTACAATCCACAGCTATAAGATACACTGCATTTGTACTATCCATCGATTTCAGATACACATCATTTGTACAATCCATGGCTATCAGAAACACTGCATTTGTACAATCCATGGCTATCAGATACACTGCATTTATAGATTCCACGGCTATCAGATACAGTGCATGTGTACAATCCATGGCTATTAGATACACTGCATTTGTACAATCCATTGCTTTCAGATACACTGCATTTGTACAATCCATGGCTATCAGATACACTGCATTTGTAAAATCCATGTCTATCAGATACACTGCATTTGTAAAATCCACGGCTACCAGATACACTGCCTTTGTACAATCCATGGCTATCAGATACACTGCATTTGTACAATCCATGGGTATTAAATACACTGCATTTGTACAATCCATGGCTATTAGATACACTGCTTTTGTGCAATCCATGGCAAAATAATACACTACAGTTGTCCAATTCATGGATAGATATTCTACTGCTGCTGTACAATCGATGACTGGATGATACGCTGCATTTTTGCAATACATGGCTTGATGCTATACTGTATTTGTACAATCCATGCCCAGATGATATACCACAGTTGTAAATCCATGGCGAGATGATATTCTACAAGTGCACAATCCACGGCTTTCTGATATAATATTGTTTGACAGTCAATGACGTCACGTTATTCAGCCGAACCTACCTAATGTTGGTCGTCGCCAAAATAATTGAAGATCACATAACTAACGCGAAAACAATCTTTTATTGATCTTATAACGTACACTAAGCGGAAATAAGGAGAATATACAGTTTACAAAAGCTAGTGGGTGAGTTTGGTTTAACGCCGCTTTATTCATCATTTTAACGCCGCTTGATGTGGGTGGAAAGCCTGAGGTGATGAAGGCCTTGGACGTTTTCCACCCTGGGGAACCCTTGAACATAGAAACACAATCAGGCCTAACCCACGATCGTACGTTTAGCTTACAAAACTATGTTTAGCAATTCAGCACAGTAAAAGTCCTACACACTATCTGGTTCACACAGGCGTTCCAACCTTAAAACGTCCATCAAAATTAATCTTTCACAAAAAAAGACACTTAAATAAACATTAAGTTCCCAATGTGTCACATTCGGGCTCCACTAAAACGAGAATCGACAAAGACTCTCAAGCCTCTTGGCGGTATTCCAAATGTCTCAGTGCCAATGCGTCACACACGCATTAGAGGTCAAGGTCACATTACACCTGCTCTGAAACGAGAATCGACATTCCCTGGGCTCGCAAGAATCTAGCTGGTATTCCAAATGTCTAAACGCCGATGCACCACAGATTATCGGCCGATGTCACATTCGAGCTCCTCTGAAATGTCTTCGGCGTCACCGCGACACATCGCGGCTTGAACATACAGAAGAATGTGCTTCTATACATCTCACTGAGCAGCATGTGAGAGATAAAGTCCACGGACAATCCAAACAGGACACACGTCGAGCCTACCTGCTGTATCATCAAGTAGACATTCTGGTAGTAGGGGGAGAAGTAGCCGTATGCGGGGATGAGGTCAAACGCCATGGAGTTGCTGACTATTGGCACAGACAGAACAAAGGACAAGAAGTTAGTGACGAGGATGGTGACTGTCGTCTGCTTCTCCCTGGCATCCAATTTGCCTGCCACTCTGTTGTTGGTGATGCTTTGTCTGAACTGACGCTGACGACGAAGAGAGATGACAACTAAGACATTGAAGACGAGCGACGCCGTGACGGCCAAATATACAGACAGCACCCGCGTTGTCGTCGACCACGCATTCAACACGTACATATTATTCATGTAAAAACTTGTCTGACAGGCGCTGTAGGTTGTGACCCCATCTTTGTAGTTGGTGTTGACGGTGTTGCGAAGGAAGCTGTAGACGTGGGCGAGCAACGAGAACAGCGCCACGCCCGTGATGAACTGACCTGGCGAGTGAACCAAGCGGTATTGCTTAGCTTTCAGTGGTATGGCTGTCACTAGATACCTCTCCATGGAAACGACGCAGGCGATGAGGAAGGTGAATCGCCTGAGAACCACCGCTACGTAGTTAGAGATGTAGATACCGAACACTGTGGAAAAAAGGTTGGTGGCGTTGCCGTACGTGATGAATCCGACGACGTCGCAGAGCATGATGATGCCGTAGAGTAGCTGTGAGACGCTGCTGGCCAGGAGGTAGGCGTTGGTGCTGGATCGCATCGTCTTTCGACAGAACACGCAGATGTTAATGGTGTTCAGGACAGTCGCGGTCAGCGTAACGGGCATGTTGAGTTTCATGACGACCCCAACTACCATGTTATACGTGCTGTCGGAGATTAGTGGCGCCCCGTCTGTACCATTGCCTTCTGGGGTGGGCGGTGTCGTGATTGTAATATTCCCTTCTGAGAGACGAGGTAAGAGACAATGTATCCCGCCTGTATCTTTCCTTTCTGAGAGACGAGGTAACCCGTCTGTACCATTTCCTTCTGAGAGACGAGGTATCCCGTCTGTACCATTTCCTTCTGAGAGACGAGGTATCCCGTCTGTACCATTTGTTACTACGAGGCGATGTATCCCGTCTGTACCATTTCCTTCTGAGAGACGATGTATCCTGTCTGTACCATTTCCTTCTGAGAGACGATGTATCCCGCCTGTTCTATTCCTTTCTGAGAGACGATGTATCCCGTCTGTACCATTCCTTTCTGAGAGACGATGTATCCCGTCTGTACCATTTCCTTCTGAGCGACGATGTATCCCGTCTGTATCATTTCCTTCTGAGAGACGATGTATCCCGTCTGTATCATTTCCTTCTGAGAGACGATGTATCCCGTCTGTACCATTTCCTTCTGACAGACGATGTCTCCCGTCTGTACCATTTCCTTCTGAGAGACGATGTATCCCGTCTGTATCATTTCCTTCTGAGAGACGATGTATCCCGCCTATGTCATTTCTTTCCGAGAGACGATGTATCCCGTCTGTACCATCCGCTTCTGAGAGACGATGTATCCCGCCTGTGTCATTTCTTTCCGAGAGACGATGTATCCCACCTGTACTGTTCCTTTCTGAGAGACGATGTATCCTGCCTGTACCATTTCTTTCTGAGAGACGATGTATCCTGCCTGTACCTTTCGCTTCGTTGAGACGATGTATCCAGTCTGTACCATTTCCTTTCGAGTGCAGCGGTGTCCCGTCTGTACCATTCGCTTCGAAGGGGAGCGGTGTCGTGATTGTAATATTCCCTTGTGAGAGAAACGTTGTTCTGTCTCTACCATTCTCGACTGAGCGTTCTTGTAGCGTAGCTTTACCCGAAAGGTTTCCACATTTCCGGTTGACTGGAGGTAAAGATTTTCCAACCGGGCTTTTCTTCGAGCAATTTGATAGAACAGATTCCCCAGTGACATTACAGAGCCGGAACGCGGTGTCCCCAATATAACTGCCATCCCCCGGGGAGAGAGGCGCCGCCTGGACCCCCCTTGTGTCTGGGTAGGCCACAGTCACACCCTGCCCAGCATCACCGTCACCGTTCACCACCGTTGACATCATATTCCAATTTTCAACGCTAGTGTCTTTGTCGCCGTCTCCAAATGTCGGCCATGTTGTGTTCACCTCAAAGCCACGCGGTGAATTGCTGTCTTCCCGGCAGTGTCCTCGTTCACTAGCGGCTAGAACAGTGACCAGTATTACACAGACGGGAGCCCCCAATATGGAGCTGGGTAGCACCTCACTGACAGTTATAATGGTGGCTAATATGACACAGACATACATTCCTGCCATGACGCGATGAAGCACTTTACCAACAGCAGGCTGGCACTACACAATGCCGTCGACAGTTGCAATGACAAATGACAAATGTATCCTTGTGGCTGTGTGCAAGGTCTGACAAGATAATGAGACGCGGTAAATTACTTACTTTCTTAGGTTTCGTAAAGCCACATTTCTGACCTATGACGCTCTGGCCCATTATTCAAGGTGAAAAGGGTTATTAATGTGTTTGTTACCCATAGGGTTGAAAATAAACGAATTCATAAAAATCGTATGTGCACAAGTGCAAATGTCACTTCTTAAGCACCAGCGCATTGTTTCATCCCGACGGCACCGTTGATTCTTTTTGTGAAGCTCTTCAGACCATGGCTTGTCTACAGTTAGGGAACTGTGTGATAAAACATGGCATGGCGCAGTCGAAAGCTACTCAAATAATTACTACATAAATGTCATATCTGCATAGAGGTCAAGACAGTTGGTTGTTGGTTGGTTGAGGTCAAGACAGACTTTAATACATCCGTCAAGACAGACGTGTACACAGACGTCAAGACAGAGGTCAACAAGGTCAACACAGAGGTCACCAAAAAGGTCAACACAGACGTCAACGCTGACATCAACACAGAGGTCAACACAAACGTTACCAGAGACGTCAAAACAGAAGTCAAGACAGACAACGCAGACGTCAACACATACGTCAACATAGACGTCAGCGCAGACTTCATGTCCATAACAGTTGTACATGACCTCCCAGGTCTTTATTCAACAAAACACTGCCCACCCAGAACATCTCCTTAATATAGAACATCAACGCCAGAGAACAATCATCTCCATTATCGGTTGAAACAGTGGTACACATTACACAAATAGATGTATGATAATCAGTGATAGTGTTCGCGAAAAGACAAGGCGTGTCCTGCTGAACCGGTAGCATCCGCTGTTCTCACTGGTTCCAGTACTTGAGTGTTCAGGGAAAATATTTGTTTAGATAATTTGTAAACGTTTAAACAATTGGGCAGATCAAGATAGTCTTTTAGTACCTTGGCAGGCTGGGTTTAGAAAAGGATTTAGAACATCTCAGTCCTTCCACCAAACACTTCCCTTTCAGGTCATTTCTCCAAACGCTGCCCTCTCAGGTCATTTCTCCAAACACTTCCCTCTCAGGTCATTTCAACAAACGCTGACCTCCCAGGTCATTTCTCCAAACACTGACCTCCCAGGTCATTTCTCCAAACGCTGCCCTCCCAGATCATTTCAACAAATACTGCCCTCTCAGTTCTTCCACCAAACACTTCCTTTTCCCAGGTCATTTCAACAAATACTTCCCTCTCAGTTCTTCCACCAAATACTTCCCTCTCAGTTCTTCCACCAAACACTTCCCTCTCAGTTCTTCCACCAAACACTTCCCTTTCAGTTCTTCCACCAAACACTTCCCTTTCAGTTCTTCCACCAAACACTTCCCTCTCAGTTCTTCCACCAAACACTTCCCTCTCAGTTCTTCCACCAAACACTTCCCTCTCAGTTCTTCCACCAACACTTCCCTCTCAGTTCTTCCACCAAACACTTCCCTTTCAGTTCTTCCACCAAACACTTCCCTTTCAGTTCTTCCACCAAACACTTCCCTTTCAGTTCTTCCACCAAACACTTCCCTTTCAGTTCTTCCACCAAACACTTCCCTCTCAGTTCTTCCACCAAACACTTCCCTCTCAGTTCTTCCACCAAATACTTCCCTCTCAGTTCTTCCACCAACACTTCCCTTTCAGTTCTTCCACCAAACACTTCCCTTTCAGTTCTTCCACCAAACACTTCCCTCTCAGTTCTTCCACCAAACACTCTATTAAAAAAGGCAGTTGAAACAACCCTTCTGATTAATGACGCATCTCTTTACTTGAGTGTTCAGGGAAAATATTTGTTTAGATAATGTGTAAACGTTTAAACAATTGGGCAGATCAAGATAGTCTTTCAGTACCTGGGCAGGCTGGGTTTAGAAAAGGATTTAGAACATCTGATAATGTGTATGTTATCAATGTTTTGATTGAAAGATACTTTTTGTTACATAAATTCTATTGTGCATTCATGGATCTTAAGTCAGCGTTCGATTCAGTGTGAAGGACAAATTTATTTTACAAACACTGGATAGGTAATGTTAATGGTAAAATATTTAGAATACTTAAAAATATGTATGAACATGTTAAATCTTGTATATTTAACAGAAGTGATGGCGAAACAGACTTTTCCACTGCCAGCCAGGTGTACGACAGGGATGCGAGTTATCTCCCTTTCTGATTTCATTCTTTGTAAATGATATTGTTGATTTTCTTAATTCAGACGGGCAAAGTAATATCCAATTCCTTCTTATTGTAGTGTTTGCAGATGGTATGGTCTTATTCCACAGTACAGTCATGGGGACGCCTCGACAAAATGTAGATTTATTGTCATAAATGGAAATTGTCTATTCATATAAGCAAAAGTAAAGTTATTTTCTTTAGACGTAGTGGTCATCTTCGAAGATATGAAAAGTTTTGGTTTGGCACCGACATTATAGAAATTGTTCCTACTTATAAATAGTTAGGTGTTCATCTTTCATCATCCGGTAGTTGGTACTTTACACAGAAAACACTAGCACTACAAGCCACGAAGTATCTTCTCGCTTTAAAATCAGGCTCAAAGGATTTTATGAAACGTCCATATAATGTACTTTTAGAGATATTTGATGTCAAATTACTACCTGTTCTTCTCTATTGCTCAGAGATATGGGGCTTTCACCCGTCTCAAGATGTTATTAATATACATGATAGATTCTGTAAGAATATTTTACAACATGGGAGATTTGTCCCCAATATAGTTGCTCGTGGCTTGGACGTTACTCACTTAAAGTCAATCAACATGTTCATATTGTCAAATATTGGTTCTGACTTGTATCTAAAAAAACTAATATAATCGTCAGTCATGTTTATTCATATCAATACAATCTGGCAGAAAAAGGAATAAATTGCTGGTCACTAAAAGTAAAACAACTTCTTTATTCATATGGTTTTGGTCATGTTTGGGATAGTCAAGGAGTTAATCATATTGGTTTTATTGATAACTTTAAAATAAAATGTATTGATATAAATAGCCAACAATGGTCTAGTAGTTTAAGAACTTACTCAAAACTGTCTTTTTATTCTTGTCTTAAGCAATATAATGTATTTGAAAATTATCTAGATTGTATTTCAGTAAGTGCCTATTGTATTGCTTTGAGTAAATTTAGATATTCTGGTCATACTTTGCTAATTATTGAAAATGGAAGGAAGTACAATATACCTAGAGCTAAGAGACTATGTCCATTTTGTGTAAGACCTGAAGAGGAATCTGAATATCATTTAACAATATCAATGTAACTTTTGATGAATTTGTAACACTCTGTACATCTAAAACCCCATGCATAATTAATGCTTTAGCTAAATTTATATTTCTAGCTTTTAAAAAGCGTAATAACTTTCTCACTGGCGCTGAAATTGTCTAATTCTGATATCATGTATTGTATAATGGGCCCGTGGCCCCTTTACTGAAATAAAGCTCTCTCTCTCGAAATAAAGCTCTCTCTCTCGAAATAAAGCTCTCTCTCGAAATAAAGCTTGCTCTCAAAAATAAAGCTCTCTCTCGAAATAAAGCTCGCTCTCTCATCTGCCCCCAAATAAAACATCAATGCCAGAGAATAATCAGGCTCTATTATTGGATGAAACAGGTTCCATTGGGCATAGAAAAGCAAAACAGTGGTGAACATTATATGAACATGATGAATAGATCACTGAAAATCAGTGATGACACCAGCTGATAATGGAAAGTGTAAGCATGTCCTGCTCTACCAGTAGCGTCCGCTGTTCTCACTGCTTCCAGCCTTGGCATTTTGAAATTTCACATTATCATTGGCACCTGAACAAACACGTTATTCTCAGAATAGCATCATTTTATTACAAACTTACATATTATTATTACATGTCATTGACTTCATTTTCATAAAGGCAAAAAGAAGTTGTAAGGTGTTTTGGGTATGTGTGACAAGCAGCTTCTGGACACAACTACGGTGTACGCTGACAAGCATTGTAACATTACTACTATTGATTCTTGTATTACTGACAGTTATTGTCCATGCACCAAACACCGACATCAACGTAGTCTTAACATGAAGAGGTACATATCAATCAGTGAATACAAATAATGACGGGGAATGAGCGCTATGATTCTTGTATTACTGACAGTTATTGTTCATGCACCAAACACCGACATCAACGTAGTCTTAACATGAAGAGACATATCAATCGGTGAATACAAATAATGACGGGGAATGAGCGCTATGATTCTTGTATTACTGACAGTTATTGTCCATGCACCAAACACCGACATCAACATAGTCTTAACATGAAGAGGTACATATCAATCGGTGAATACAACTAATGACGGGGAATGAGCGCTATGATTCTTGTATTACTGACAGTTATTGCCCATGCACCAAACACCGACATCAACAGTCTTAACATGAAGAGGTACATGTACATATCAATTGGTGAATACAACTAATGACGGGGAATGAGCGCTATGATTCTTGTATTACTGACAGTTATTGTCCAAGCACCAAACACCGACATCAACATAGTCTTAACATGAAGAGTGAGTTAGTGAGTATGGTTTTACGCCGCTTTTAGCAATATTCCAGCAATATCACGGCGGGGGACACCAGAAATGGGCTTCACACATTGTACCCATGTCGGGAATCGAACCCGGGTCTTCGGCGTGACGAACGAACGCTTTAACCACCAGGCTACCCGACCGCCCTTAACATGAAGAGGTACATATCAATCGGTGAATACAACTAATGACGGGGAATGAGCTATATCATCTTTCAGTTGATTCACTCCTCTATATATAGTGGGAGGACTCCAAGGCAATCCATACGGTAACATCAGGATAGACCAGGGCCCCGTTCTACAAAAATATCTTAGTGCTAAGGTGATTGCAATGCCCATACTTAACATAGACTTACGACAGTTGTAGTGCCATGATCACTTTGAGGAACAGGCCGATGTTAATCTGGTAGATTCTGGGATTCAAATCAATAAACAGCAGATTCGAGATGTAACCCTACACACTGGGCATCTCCCCTGATGTATCGCCACGTGTTCAGGAGTGTGAGAGACTCAACAACAACCATCCCTCAAACCAATAACAGATACAATATAAACTGCTGTATTTTATAAATAAATATATATCATACCAGCAAACTAAATGTTTGACAATGAAAATTTAATTTGATAACCAGTTAAAATGACTTGAAGGCATAATTCACGTGATTAGAAAAATGCCACAATTCAATGTGCTAAAACAAATGTTGCTTCAAGCAACCGGATACATTTTGCAGTTGAATCATAACAAGACAATGCCAACAACATGCCCATGTAACCATGACAACACTGAACATTTCATCGGGAGTAATTGTCAGTGTGTACCTGGCCACATGGCGCCGTTCTAACAATCAAACATAGGAATAACAAGCAGTAGTGAAATCAACAGGCATGACAAACAAAATGGTTGCCTACATTCTTTGTAGGTCCTAACAGAAGAAAAGTGACAATCATTCTCAAGTATCTTTAGAATGAATTGACCCATATAGAAACAAACTGACTGCAACACCACTATAACATGCCCAGCACTGAACACACACTCTCTCCAACATGGTACAAATGTGGGAGTTTTCTGACTAGGAATACTTGATTGGACAGTCAAAGAGGTTACCATTGATGCAAGAGAAGGCAGGTTCTGGTGAATTGTACATAAAGGGTTTTACAGGATTTGGTCAGTGGATACATTGCACATTATTTACAGGCTCTTAAATTGGAAAAATATATTCTGATATTGCAACTGTGCCTGCATGACACAGACTAATGTGTACTGCATGTCCAGAGACTGATGGTCAATGGATACATTGCACGTCATTAACTGGCTCTAGAATTGGAAAAATATATTCTGATATTGCAACTGTGCCTGCATGACACAGACTTATGTGTACTGTACTTCCAGAGACTAATGTGTACTGTACGTCCAGAGACTAATGTGTTCTGTATGTCCAGAGACTAAAGTGTACTGTACGTCCAGAGACTAATGTGTACTGTACGTCCAGAGACTAATGTGTACTGTACGTCCAGAGACTAATGTGTTCTGTATGTCCAGAGACTGTGTACTGTACGTCCAGAGACTAATGTGTACTGTACGTCCAGAGACTGTGTACTGTACGTCCAGAGACTAATGTGTACTGTACGTCCAGAGACTAATGTGTACTGTACGTCCAGAGACTGTGTACTGTACGTCCAGAGACTAATGTGTACTGTACGTCCAGAGACTAATGTGTACTGTACGTCCAGAGACTAATGTGTTCTGCATGTCCAGAGACTAATGTGTACTGTACATCCAGAGACTAATGTGTACTGTATGTCCAGAGACTAATGTGTACTGTACGTCCAGAGACTAATGTGTACTGTATGTCCAGAGACTAATGTGTACTGTACGTCCAGAGACTAATGTGTACTGTATGTCCAGCGACTAATGTGTACTGTACGTCCAGAGACTAATGTGTACTGTACGTCCAGACTAATGAGAACTGTATGTCCAGAGACTGTGTACTGTACGTCCAGAGACTAAAGTATACTGTATGTCCAGAGACTAAAGTGTACTGTACATGCAAAGACTAATGTGTACTGTACATCCAGAGACTAATGTGTACTTGTGTCAAAAGACTAATGTGTACTGTATGTCCAGAGACTATTGTGTACTGTAGGTCCAGAGACTGTGTACTGTATGTCCAGAGACTAATGTGTTCTGTATGTCCAGAGACTAAAGTGCACTGTACATCCAGAGACTAATGTGTACTTGTGTCAAAAGACTAATGTGTACTGTACATCCAGAGACTAATGTGTTCTGTATTTCCAGAGACTGATGTGTACTGTATGTCCAGAAATTAATGTGTACTGTATGCCCAGAGACTAAAGTGTACGGTATGTCCAGAGACTAATTTGTACTGTATGTCCAGAGACTGATGTGTACTGTATGTCTAGGGACTAAATTGTACTGTATGTCCAGAGACTGATGTGTACAGTATGCCCAGAGACTAATTTGTACTGTATGTCCAGAGACTGATGTGTACTGTATGTCTAGGGACTAAATTGTACTGTATGTCCAGAGACTGATGTGTACAGTATGCCCAGAGACTAATTTGTACTGTATGTCCAGAGACTGATGTGTACTGTATGTCTAGGGACTAAATTGTACTGTATGTCCAGAGACTGATGTGTACAGTATGCCTATACCACTGGAACCAACTGCTGGTTCCAATCTACAGTATTGGGTAACTACAACATCTAACAGATCACCGTTCATACAAAAGAGATTGCATGAGGACTTGAAAGCACAGTGGGCAAATCTTCATCATGACAATAGAGTTAATCATATATACAAAGTGAACAGTCAATTCTGTGACAGTGAACTTCCTGAAGGCCTGGCTGTGTTGACACTGTGCTTCAGTCAGTGTCGAGATGTCAAGGTGGTGTCAAGGTTGAGCTGGACACGGTCAAAGGGAGCTGGACACATACCCATCAACAGAGAGAGTATCTTTGTCTTCAGAAACATTGTATTGTCTTCAGTAACTATATCAATCCACAAATATGGGTACATTGTATCATCCAATGACCAATGATGCCCCTGTGATACGGCTACTGTCATATCAGGATACTTTGAGGACTACAAGTTCACTCTGGATTCCTCAATTCAGCAGCTTCATTACACTGCTCTGCATGTTGCATGTCCATGTCCTGAGCTAGATGTCCATGTCCTGAGCTAGATGTCCATGTCCTGTGCCAGATGTCCATGTCCTGTGCCAGATGTCCATGACCTGTGTCAGATGTCCATGACCTGCACCAGATGTCCATGACCTGCACCAGATGTCCATGACCTGCACCAGATGTCCATGACCTGTGTCAGGTGTCCATGTCCTGTGTAAGATGTCGATGATTTGTGCTAGATGTCCATGACCTGTGCCAGATGTCCATGACCTGTGCCAGATGTCCACGACCTGTGTCAGATGTCCATGACCTGCACCAGATGTCCATGACCTGCACCAGATGTCAATGACCTGTGTCAGGTGTCCACGACCTGTGTCAGATGTCCATGACCTGCACCAGATGTCCATGTCCTGTGCCAGATGTCCATGTCCCGTGTCAGATGTCCATGTCCCGTGTCAGATGTCCATGTCCTGTGTCACATGTCCATGTCCTGTGTCAAATGTCCATGACCTGTGTCAGATGTCCATGTCCTGTGCCAGATGTCCATGTCCCGTGTCAGATGTCCATGACCTGTGTCAGATGTCCATGTCCCGTGTCAGATGTCCATGTCCTGTGTCAAATGTCCATGACCTGTGTCAGATGTCCATGTCCTGTGCCAGATGTCCATGTCCTGTGCCAGATGTCCATGAGTAGTGTTCAAACTCGTGGTGTGCTCCTGTCATTAGTGATGGTCTTCTTGAGTCTTTGGCCCTGTCTGATGGATCCCAGGAGAGCACCCCTACTGGGACTAGAGGTTGAGGTGGATGGCTGGGGTGGGGGTGTGGGTGGCGGTGGGGGGCCCTGGGGTGGTGGGGGACCGGGAGGGGGAGGAGGTGGGGGTGGAGTTGTATTGGTCACTGAGGACACAGAAGCAGATCTTGACACTCTCTTGGACTCAGACTTCCTGTGGAAAAAGAAGAACTAAGTGAGTCGCAAGGAAGGCAGAAATAATTTAATATACTGAAACCCATCTTCCGAGGGAAAGGGAGTTACCTAACTATAAAAGTCCACTTTCCACCCTTGCTGAACTAGGCTGGAATTCGAGAGTTACAGTTTGGCTGGACCAACTAGTCTATGCATAGTCCAAACAAAATCTCGTAACGAACTCGATATCTGAATGATGGAATATTACTGGTCAATAGGATGGACAAAGAAGGGACATAACTTGAAATAGCCACTGGTGGCGCTACGATAGAGCCTGGAAATTCCAGCCTAGTCCGGCAAGGGTGGAAACTGGACCTTTATAGTCAATTAACACCCTTAACTCGGGAAGATGACTGAAACTTATTGATGACTTCTGTGGAGCATGAGTTTGATTCAATTACTATCAACACAAGTGCTGACACATGTTGCCCAGCAACATCTGGAGTGAGTGACAGATGAAACTTGACAAGGAGCAAGAATACCAGTGGTCAATACAGGAAGAACTCACACACTGAAAAAGATCCTATTAGACATGTAAGTGTACTGAGAGACTCCAATACGCTTAGACATCAGTCCTTCCATCCATCCACAATCAATGTCATTTGCGTTTTACAAGACTAATGGAGGCAGATTCTGCCAGGTGACAATGAGGGTATTTTTCTGGAATTCAGCAACAAAAGAATAGATGAATTATGTTACTCACATCTTATCTGTACCAGATTTTGACTTTGATCTGCAAGAAATAAAGACAGCTGTTAGCCAGTGTGCCACCCACTGTGATGTGAGTCTCCTACAGTGGTGTGAGTCACTGCAATGTGGGTCACGGTGATGTGTGCCACCTACTATGATGTGAGTCACCTACTGTGATGTGAGTCTCCTACAGTGGTGTGAGTCACTGCAATGTGGGTCACGGTGATGTGTGCCACCTATTATGATGTGGGTCTCCTACTGTGATGTGAGTCTCCTACAGTGATGTGAGTCACTGCAATGTGGGTCATGGTGATGTGTGTCACATACTATGATGTGAGTCACCTACTGTGATGTAAGTCACCTACAGTGATGTGAGTCACCTACTGTGATGTGAGTCAACTATTGTGATGTGAGTCACTTACTGTGATGTGAGTCACCCACTGTGATATGAGTCACCTACAGTGATGTGAGTCACCTATTGTGATGTGAGTCACCCACTGTGATGTGAGTCAACTATTGTGATGTGAGTCACCTACAGTGATGTGAGTCACCTATTGTGATGTGAGCCAACTATTGTGATGTGAGTCACCTAGTGATGTGAGTCACCCACTGTGATGTGAGTCACCCACTGTGACATCAGTCACCTACAGTGATGTGAATCACCTACTATGATGTGAGTCACTTACTGTGATGTGAGTCAACTATTGTGATGTGAGTCACCTACAGTGATGTGAGTCACCTACTTTGACTTCCCCTTCCTGACTGTCTTCAGAAGACTCTTCATCGTGCCACTCAGATGTATCTGATAGAGAAATAAATGAGTGTTATCTGCATTTCCTGTAACATACATTCAGACAGGTAAGGTTACAGTTAGCATGGTGTTTTTTAATGCAGCCAGTCTGCTGTTGCTGGTCCAGACATTTTCATGTTGTGACTGAGCAATGATTCTATCCACTCTTTTGAAAATATTCAGCAAGAAGGCATTAATGACAGTGGGGACAACTCACGGGTGCTGGGTTGTACATCATCATCTCCTGGAGCCGGATGCTGCTGAAGAACATGTGCTGGGACACCTGAAGAATACACCAACACTCATCATGTCACACAGCTAGCTATACTATTACTTGTCACCCTGTCGAATACACCAACACTACACTATAACTTGTCAACCTGTTGAATACACCAACACTACACTATAAGTTGTCAACCTGTCGAATACACCAACACTACACTATAAGTTGTCAACCTGTCGAATACACCAACACTACACTATAACTTGTCACCCTGTCGAATACACCAACACTACACTATAAGTTGTCAACCTGTTGAATACACCAACACTACACTATAAGTTGTCAACCTGTCGAATACACCAACACTCATGTCATGCAGCTAGCTACACTATAAGTTGTCAACCTGTCGAATACACAAACACTACACTGTAACTTGTCAACCTGTCGAATACACCAACACTACACTATAAGTTGTCAACCTGTCGAATACACCAACACTACACTATAAGTTGTCAACCTGTCGAATACACCAACACTACACTATAACTTGTCACCCTGTCGAATACACCAACACTACACTATAAGTTGTCAACCTGTTGAATACACCAACACTACACTATAAGTTGTCAACCTGTCGAATACACCAACACTCATGTCATGCAGCTAGCTACACTGTAAGTTGTCAACCTGTCGAATACACCAACACTACACTATAACTTGTCAACCTGTCGAATACACCAACACTCATCAAGGCATGCAGCTAGCTACACTGTAACTTGTCAACCTGTCGAATACACCAACACTCATGTCATGCAGCTAGCTACACTATAAGTTGTCAACCTGTCGAATACACCAACACTACACTGTAACTTGTCAACCTGTCGAATACACCAACACTACACTATAAGTTGTCAACCTGTCGAATACACCAACACTCATCAAGGCATGCAGCTAGCTACACTGTAACTAGTCAACCTGTCGAATACACCAACACTCATGTCATGCTGCTAGCTACACTATAACTTGTCAACCTGTCAAATACACCAACACTACACTATAAGTTGTCAACCTGTCGAATACACCAACACTCATCAAGGCATGCAGCTAGCTACACTGTAACTTGTCAACCTGTCGAATACACCAACACTCATGTCATGCTGCTAGCTACACTATAACTTGTCAACCTGTCGAATACACTAACGCTACTCTATAACTTGTCAACCTGTTGAATACACCAACACTACACTATAAGTTGTCAACCTGTCGAATACACCAACACTCATAATGTCACGCAGCTAGCTACACTATAAGTTGTCAACTTGTCGAATACACCAACACTACACTATAACTTGTCAACCTGTCGAATACACCAACGCTACTCTATAACTTGTCAACCTGTCGAATACACCAACACTACACTATAAGTTGTCAACCTGTCGAATACACCAACACTCATAATGTCACGCAGCTAGCTACACTATAAGTTGTCAACTTGTCGAATACACCAACACTACACTATAAGTTGTCAACCTGTCGAATACACCAACACTCATCATGTCATGCAGCTAGCTACGCTATAAGTTGTCAACTTGTCGAATACACCAACACTACACTATAAGTTGTCAACCTGTCGAATACACCAACACTCATGTCATGCAGCTAGCTACACTATTACTTGTCAACCTGTCGAATACACCAACACTACACTATAACTTGTCAACCTGTCGAATACACCAACACTCATGTCATGCAGCTAGCTACACTATAAGTTGTAAACCTGTCGAATACACCAACACTCATGTCATGCAGCTAGCTACACTATAAGTTGTCAACCTGTTGAATACACCAACACTCATGTCATGCAGCTAGCTACACTATTACTTGTCAACCTGTTGAATACACCAACACTACACTATAAGTTGTCAACCTGTCGAATACACCAACACTCATCATGTCATGCAGCTAGCTACACTATAAGTTGTCAACTTGTCGAATACACCCACACTACACTATAAGTTGTCAACCTGTCGAATACACCAACATGGTGCTCAGTGCACTTGTTGAAAGAATCCGAGTGAGTGAGTGAGTTGGGTTTAACACCACTTTTAACATTATTCCAGTTATATCACGGCGTGTCAGCTTAATGTGGGAGGAAAGCCCGAAGTGATGCAGGTCTAAGACGTTTCCCACTTCGGTGAAACCCACGAGCACGGGTATGGTGCTGACAAAGATAGAAACATAATTAGGGCGAACCGGGATTCGAACCCACAATCATAGGTTTCTGGTGTGCCCAAGGGACGCAACTCTGCACAGCGAATCGCGGCGCCTTACACGACTGGGCCACCCGTGCCCCCTGAAAGAGTCCGAGTCAAGAGAAAGCCTGTACTGAAGCCTTTAAGGGCCATTTGCTGTTTTACTTTTATCTTGAAATTTGAAGATTAAAAGTTGAAATTTCAAGATAATGCGTTGACATTTTGTCACAACTACTACTTGTTCACAACTTGCTAGCACCAGTGTTATGAACTGACAAAACATGTACACTGTATATATGTATTTCAAGTTAGCCCATTATCTTGAAATTTCAACTTAGTATCTTGAAATTTCAAGAAAAAAGCAGGTGTCCCTAAAGGGCTTTCATAAGTTTGCATAAAATGGAATTTTATTATCTGTCACTAAAAGATGATAAGCTAGGGGATAAGTTTTGATCGCGTTGGTTGGTAAGAAGGTAATAACTCTGAGAGAGATGTTGGAGCTTCATTGTTATGGTCATTTTAGAACTGGAGTGATGTGGTCAAACTTTCTGGTTTCTGTAATTATTCTTGCTGAAGTATTCTGCATCTGCTGAAAATGTTGAATCTGATCTTGCTGATGACAGAGTGAGGAGGGGAGTGGGGCAGGGAAGGTGGGTAGGTAGGATCTAGGAGGGTAGTATAGGGTAGGACATTTGTTATTTCCTCAAAAATAAAGTTCCCCTGTAAACAAGCTCTGTAAGTCCTCTCAACATGGAATCAAAATAACAAACATCGTACCTCTCGTAAAGTGGGATACTTTCCAGACTCGGGTTCAAATATGAAGTTCATCACCTGTAACAACACAATACCACAAGCATCAGTTTGGCAGTGATGAGATGTGCAATGTTCACCTGGAGTATGATGGGAGTATTGTGGATTTACCTGGAGTATGATGGGAGTACTGTGGGTTTACCTTGACTATGATGGGTGTGTTGTGTGTTTCCCTTGACTATAATGGGAGTACTGTGTGTTTACCTTGACTATGATGTGAGAACTGTGTGTTTACCTTGACTATGATGGGAGTACTGTGTGTTTACCTTGACTATGATGGGAGTACTGTGTGTTTACCTTGACTATGATGGGAGTACTGTGTGTTTACCTTGACTATAATGGGAGTACTGTGTGTTTACCTTGACTATGATGTGAGAACTGTGTGTTTACCTTGACTATGATGGGAGTACTGTGTGTTTACCTTGACTATGATGGGAGTACTGTGTGTTTACCTTGACTATGATGGAAGTAATGTGTGTTTACCTCGACTATGATGGGTGTGTTGTGTGTTTACCTTGACTATGATGGGAGTACTGTGTGTTTACCTTGACTATGATGGGTGTGTTGTGTGTTTACCTCGACTATGATGGGTGTACTGTGTGTTTACCTCGACTATGATGGGTGTGTTGTGTGTTTACCTTGACTATGATGGGAGTACTGTGTGTTTACCTTGACTATGATGGGTGTGTTGTGTGTTTACCTCGACTATGATGGGTGTACTGTGTGTTTACCTCGACTATGATGGGAGTACTGTGTGTTTACCTTGACTATGATGGGAGTACTGTGTGTTTACCTTGACAATGATGGGAGTACTGTGTGTTTACCTCAAATATGATGGGTGTGTTGTGTTTACCTCGACTATGATGGGTGTGTTGTGTGTTTACCTTGACTATGATGGGTGTACTGTGTGTTTACCTTGACTATGATGGGTGTGTTGTGTGTTTACCTTGACTATGATGGGTGTACTGTGTGTTTACCTTGACTATGATGGGTGTGTTGTGTGTTTACCTCGACTATGATGGGAGTACTGTGTGTTTACCTCGACTATGATGGGAGTAGTGTGTGTTTACCTCGACTATGATGGGAGTATTGTGTGTTTACCTCTACTATGATGGGAGTACTGTGTGTTTACCTCTACTATGATGGGAGTACTGTGTGTTTACCTCGACTATGATGGGAGAACTGTGTGTTTACCTTGACTATGATGGGAGTACTGTGTGTTTACCTCAACTATGATGGGCGTGTTGTGTATTTACCTCGACTATGATGGGAGTACTGTGTGTTTACCTTGACTATGATGGGAGTACTGTGTGTTTACCTTGACTATGATGGGAGTACTGTGTGTTTACCTCGACTATGATGGGAGTACTGTGTGTTTACCTCGACTATGATGGGAGTACTGTGTGTTTACCTCGACTATGATGGGAGTGTTGTGTGTTTACCTCGACTATGATGGGAGTACTGTGTGTTTACCTCGACTATGATGGGAGTACTGTGTGTTTACCTCGACTATGATGGGAGTGTTGTGTTGTTTACCTCGACTATGATGGGAGTACTGTGTGTTTACCTCGACTATGATGGGAGTAGTGTGTGTTTACCTCGACTATGATGGGAGTACTGTGTGTTTACCTCGACTATGATGGGAGTGTTGTGTTGTTTACCTCGACTATGATGGGAGTACTGTGTGTTTACCTCGACTATGATGGGAGTAGTGTGTGTTTACCTCGACTATGATGGGAGTATTGTGTGTTTACCTCTACTATGATGGGAGTACTGTGTGTTTACCTCGACTATGATGGGAGTAGTGTGTGTTTACCTCGACTATGATGGGAGTATTGTGTGTTTACCTTGACTATGATGGGAGTACTGTGTGTTTACCTCTACTATGATGGGAGTACTGTGTGTTTACCTCGACTATGATGGGAGAACTGTGTGTTTACCTTGACTATGATGGGAGTACTGTGTGTTTACCTCAACTATGATGGGTGTGTTGTGTATTTACCTCGACTATGATGGGAGTACTGTGTGTTTACCTCGACTATGATGGGAGTACTGTGTGTTTACCTTGACTATGATGGGAGTACTGTGTGTTTACCTCGACTATGATGGGAGTACTGTGTGTTTACCTCGACTATGATGGGAGTACTGTGTGTTTACCTCGACTATGATGGGAGTGTTGTGTGTTTACCTCGACTATGATGGGAGTACTGTGTGTTTACCTCGACTATGATGGGAGTACTGTGTGATTACCTTGACAATGATGGGAGTACTGAGTGTTTACCTCGACTATGATGGACGTGTTGTGTGTTTACCTCGAATATGATGGGTGTGTTGTGTGTTTACCTTGACTATGATGGGTGTACTGTGTGTTTACCTCGACTATGATGGGTGTACTGTGTGTTTACCTTGACTATGATGGGTGTACTGTGTGTTTACCTCGACTATGATGGGTGTACTGTGTGTTTACCTCAACTATGATGGGAGTACTGTGTGTTTACCTTGACTATGATGGGAGTATTGTGTGTTAACCTCGACTATGATGGGAGTACTGTGTGTTTACCTCGACTATGATGGGTGTGTTGTGTGTTTACCTCGACTATGATGGGAGTATTGTGTGTTTACCTCGACTATGATGGGAGTACTGTGTGTTTACCTCGACTATGATGGGCGTGTTGTGTGTTTACCTCGACTATGATGGGAGTGTTGTGTGTTTACCTCGACTATGATGGGAGTACTGTGTGTTTACCTCGACTATGATGGGCGACTGGTGGCCCGTTAGGTTCTGGGGTTCGGGATGGGGAGCATCCAGCTCAAAACCAAAACACATCTCAAACAGCAGGTGACCTGACAACAAAAAACATGATGTGTCATCATATACCGACATAACTATAGACATGGTTTCAGCCAGAGACAGATATACTTGAGGACATCCATTTAATTGATGAAGGACATCACATTAATCAGAGATATTTGAAGGACACTTTAATCGATGATGCACATACCAAAGGACAGAGTGTCAATGGCCTCTTTGTTCTCTCCTTTCAGTTTCTTCCTTATGAGAGAATACACTCTGGATGTGTTGCCCAAAAAGATGTTTTCATACCCCGTTACTCTGAAACAAACAACAACACCATACCCTGTCACTCCGAAGCAACCAACCGTCTCAGTGGTCTAGTGGTAGAGCATCCGCTTGGGATTCGATCCCCGGCCGCATCATACCAAAAGACGGTAAAAAATGGTACCTGTCTGGTGCTCATCACTAAGGTGCTAAAACAAGGACAGGTCGGTTCAGAGACAGAGTAGTGTCTGAGAGGGGTATTCATGTTAAACTGTGGCATGATATCTCAGTGTGCTAGCACTATAAATCGGCATCATTCCGGACAAGTACAAGCAGCCACACACACAAGCTATATAAGTGCAATAATCTTGGACGCGACGTTAAACCCCTTTTTACCTCACCTCTGAAACAACCACACCATTTACTCTGCAAAAAACATGCCATACCCTGTGACTATGAAACAACCACACCATACCTTGTTATTCTGAAACAAACACACCATAACTAGACACAATGTTATGGATAACAACTTCTTTAATACTGTAAAAAGCGACTTTTCGGTTTAGATCCTTATACAGTTGTCAAGCAAGACTGAATGAGGGACATTGTACAGAATATTTATAGTAGGTGGAGGATTAACAGTAACAACAATTGCATACATGAGTGGGATAACATGAGTATATATAAGTAATGACAACAGAAGGATAATACTGTCACAACACGATGGACAGAGAACACATAGGTGGAAGCCAATGGGACAAGAAGCCAATTAAACAGGATAAGTGATTATTGCTTAATGAGTTCATAGTAGGCCGATGGGATGAAATAGCCTTGATCTCTGTTGATTGATGGCTTGTGGCGAATGTGGACTGCTTCTGTTAGTTTTCTTTTAGTGAAATCATGGAGGTTATTGGATGCTGATATGGTCCGAGATGGCTGATTTACTGTCTGATTTGATGGTTGAGGTTTTGTGCTCTTTGATTCTTGTGTCAACGTCATGATTAGTATTAGGGTTAGTACGGCAACTAAACTGTGAAGATGCGTGGTAGAAAAGGTCTTCAACAATCCATGCTTGCCAGTAGAGGCGATTATGCTTGTTGTAGAGCCGGCTAACGGGATCAGGTGGTCAGGCTCACTGACTTGGTTGATGCAGTCATCGTATCATGATTGCGTGGATCAATGCTCGTGATGTCAATCACTGGATATTCTGGTACAGGCTCGATTATTTACAGACCGCCATCATATGGCTGGAATATTGCCGAGTGCGACATTAAACAACAAACAAACAAGTATGGCAACTTACTTGCACACTCCATCTTCAAACAGGATGTTGCCCGAGTGAATGTTGCTGTGTGGTGGAAATCCCTTTTCTTCTAAATACAACAGCCCCTGCAACATGACATCACCAACATGACAACATCACCTTATTATAGGCCAAAATGAACATCACCATATCTTACACCAACATGATATCACCTTATCTTAGGCCAACGTGACATCATCTTATCATAGGCCAACATGACAACATCACCTTATCATAGGCCAACATGACATCACCTTATCTTAGGCCAACATGACATCACCTTATCATAGGCCAACATGACATCACCTTATCTTAGGCCAACATGACAACATCACCTTATCATAGGCCAACATGACATCACCTTATCTTAGGCCCACATGACATCACCTTATCATAGGCCAACATGACAACATCACCTTATCTAAGGCCAACATGACATCACCTTATCATAGGCCAACATAACAACATCACCTTATCTAAGGCCAACATGACATCACCTTATCATAGGCCAACATGATATCACCTTATCTTAGGCCAACATGACATCATCTTATCATAGGCCAACATGACAATATCACCTTATCTTAGGCAAACATGACATCACCTTATCATAGGCCAACATGACAACATCACCTTATCTTAGGCCAATATGACATCACCTTATCATAGGCCAACATGACAACATCTCCTTATCTTAGGCCAACATGACATCACCTTGTCTTAGGCCAACATGCCAACATCTCCTTATCTTAGGCCAACATGACAATATCACCTTGTCTTAGGCCAACATGACAACATCACCTTGTCTTGGGCCAACATGACAACATCACCTTGTCTTGGGCCATCATGACAATATCACCTTATCTTAGGCCAACATGACAACATCACCTTATCTTAGGCCAACGTGACAACATCACCTTATCTTAGACCAACGTGACAACATCACCTTATCTTAGACCAACATGACAACATCACCTTGTCTTGGGCCATCATGACTACATAACCTTATCATAGGCCAACATGACAACATCTCCTTATCCTAGGCCAACATTACATCACCTCATCATAGGCCAACATGACAACATCACCTTATCTTAGACCAACATGACATCACCTTATCTTAGGCCAACATGACAACATCACCTTATCTAAGGCCAACATGACATCATCTTATCTAAGGCCAACATGACAACATCACCTTATCTTAGGCCAACGTGACAACATCACCTTATCTTAGGCCAACATGACAACATCACCTTATCTTAGGCCAACATGACATCACCTTATCTTAGGCCAACATGACAACATCACCTTATCTTAGACCAACATGACAACATCACCTTATCTTAGGCCAAGCCAACATGACATCACCTTTTCTTAGGCCAACATGACATTATCACATCCCCTCAAACTTTCAATATTTTGGATAAGATTTTGAAAAATAGATTTTACTGCACTTCAAAAAATCAATATGGAGTTATGTATCCTAAGAGCATGGTATCTGCAAACACTTTGTAGTAGGACCAGACAATAAAAAAGGGTTAAAAGTCTGTAGTCTGTCTGAAGACAATCACTCACTCACTCACTCACTCACTGTCTGAAGTTGTCTGAAAGAACATTGTGTGCGTTCTGTTTATGCAGGGCTGTTTCAATAACATTGTGAATCCGTGTTCACACGTGATTACCACTTTTGTTATGATGTTTGTTTGTTTGCTTGGTTGTTTCTTAATTTAATGCCGCACTCAGCAGTATTCAAGCTGTTTGACAGTGGTCTGTAAATGATGGAGTCTGGACCAGGCAATCCAGTGACTGACATCATGAGCATACGATGGCATACATCAACCAAGTCAACGAGCCAGACCATCCGATCCCGTTAGTCGCCTCTAATGACAAGCACGGGTTGCTGAAGACCAATTCTAACCCGGATCTTCACACGTCACATTTGCTATCGATCAAGATTTTTGTAAATATCGGTCTTGAATACACAGCGATGAAGTGCCGACGACTTGCTGTTTGTAGGCATGAATGGAGGAATCTCCTATGATTCTACGATGGCCTCAGCCGAGTTCTGTTGTCCAGGTGACTATGGGAAGCAGATTATGAGTGTGGTGCACCTACCTCCAGGATCTGTCGGCCATACAGCTGGATCTGCTGAAGACTCAGTCCGCGATTTCTCTGACTGTATTTTTCATACCAGCTTTCCGTAAACTTACGCTGAAATGTAAAATATAATAACTAAGAAAAGTCTCAAAACAGGAGGACCTACTTACAGTCCTATTCCTATAGATCTTTCACTCTCTGACTTGTTTGGAATAAAACTTCAGCTAATGTTACTATTCATATGTATAAGATTGCTACGGGAGAACAAAGAGCGGTTTATTCCACTTTATAGCTAAAAAGATAGAATTATCATTAAACCATGCATGTTATCAGAAACGAACGTGCCACTGTAACTTAATAATCTCCTCATATTGCTTGACGATGGTTAATGGTGACGATGGTGGCGTCTTATTGATGTTCAATAGTGATGTCATCTGGTTTGTTCTATGACGTTTCCATATTTGTAAAAGTGGGTCAGTGACATTTGTTGTGTGTTGATTGTAGTAAAACTTTCAAAACTGGTATTGTTGTTTATTTGTCTTTGTAACAAAACATATCCATTTTATCTATAATAACGGTAAAGCTATTTTTTAGGGTATTATCATTTGCAGAAGCCCTCTGTCTTTTCAACTACCCTTATTAACAAAACATGGTTCTATCATGACGTCATTTCTGGTGATTCGAAAATGCTGTCGCAACTTCATATATTGGGTGATATTATATTTTTACAGGGGAGTCTCTAGTGAGTTGTTCCCCATAGATGCAACAGGGCAGGGCAGATAAAAGAAATGGCTGAAAGATTGCATCCAAAAGCGGGAAAGATATGACAATCATTGGGAGAAAAGGTACAGGTAATCGATGTTAGGAGCATGAGAATATGCAGGAAATACCCACATGTGCATAAAATTGACTGTCCGACATTGCCAAGGTCGGATTCTATTCAGGGAGTCATCATCATTAAAATTTGGGTAACTATTCTAAAAAGATGTACATTTTATCAACATCCTTAAAGAGGCTGTACATAATGTTGATATCTCATATAAGAAATAACCGACTCGTGGTCGTTGTTTATCATAAAATAAAACACTGCAGGGAGAATAAACCACTCGGGGTTGCGCCCCTCGTGGCATATTCTTCCTGCAGTGTTTTATTGTATGATAAACAACTCCCACTCGTCATTCATTTTTTAAATCATAGTTTTGAGAATTATTCACTGTTGGTGAATATAGTCAGTCATCAGGGAGCACTATCTGCATGTATTCTATGCGCAGCGTGCGAGTGTGGTGTACCTGGTAGATGACATCCTTCAGAGATCCCCGCATGCTGATTGGCTGGACAGTAATGATGCACATCTGCTCCACCGAAAAGTTTAACTCGGAGATGGCGAACACATACGGGTGCTGCAGAAACAATACATCATCATGTTACCATGGCCACATCATCAGCTGCTGAAAAGTGTATCCAACCTAACTTCTTATTTCATTCTATAATGGAGTGAGTGAGTGAGTGAGTGAGTGAGTGAGTGAGTGAGTGAGTGAGTGAGTGTGGTTTTACACCGCTTTTAGCAATATTCCAGCAATATCACGGTGGAGGACACAAGAAATGAGCTTCACACAATGTACCAATGTCAGAAATTCAACCCGGGTCTTCAGTGTGACAAGCAAACGCTTTAATCACTAGGCTACCCGACTGCCCCGGAGTGAGTGAGAGAGTATGGTTTTATGCCGCTTTTAGCAATATTCCAGCAATATCATAGCGGGGGACACCAGAAATGGGCTTCACACATTGTACCCACGTCGGGAATCGAACACGGGTCTTCGGCGTGACGAGCGAACGCTTTAACCTCTAGGCTACCTGACCACCTCCGACTGCCCCGGAAGATCCATAATGTCAATAACTTGTTTTCATGTTGACTCACTCACACATCTCTACCCTATTAATGTACATCTATTGCAAAATCTTTGAAAAATGTAACCATCAACTTGCTGCAGCTGTCTTTGAGACATGCCAGGGTATAGGAGATAACGTGTGGGTAAACTGGGCTTCTATATCCCCTAGATGATGGACGCAATACATAATCTCTCTGAATAGGATACCCACCCTATCGGCTTATAATAGGCCAGTTAGACTGTTGTATTTGAGACTCTACCCCGAGTAGACAGCTGTATTTGTGAGACAGCCCCCATGTAGACAGCTGTATTTGTGAGACAGCCCCCAAGTAGACAGCTGTATTTGTGAGACAGCCCCCATGTAGACAGCTGTATTTGTGAGACAGCCCCCAGTTAGACAGCTGTATTTGTGACAGCCCCCAAGTAGACAGCTGTATTTGTGAGACAGCCCCCATGTAAACAGCTGTATTTGTGAGACAGCCCCAATGTAGATAGCTGTATTTGTGAGACAACCCCCATGTAAACAGCTGTATTTGTGAGACAGCCCCCATATAGACAGCTGTATTTGTGACACAGCCCCCAAGTAGACAGCTGTATTTGTGAGACAGCCCCCAAGTAGACAGCTGTATTTGTGACACAGCCCCCATGTAGACAGCTGTATTCGTTAGACAGCCCCAATGTAAACAGCTGTATTTGTGACACAGCCCCCAAGTAGACAGCTGCATTTGTGAGACAGCCCCCATGTAGACAGCTGTATTTGTGAGACAGCCCCCAAGTAGACAGCTGTATTTGTGAGACAGCCCCCATGTAAACAGCTGTATTTGTGAGACAGCCTCCATATAGGCAGCTGTATTTGTGAGACAGCCCCCAAGTAGACAGCTGTATTTGTGAGACAACCCCTTGTTGGACATCTGTAACCCTCAGTTTTGAGGGGTTACCTGGAGGAGGCTGAAGAGATCCTTGAGGACCTTGCTGGTGGCTGGAGTGAAGGGAAGCACCATCTTCAGGTTGCTGGGGATGGTGGTGAGAACACGGTCCACCTTCAGCCGACTGTCACGCACACGGAACCAGTGCTTGTCGATCCTGCTCCCTGCAAGTTGAAACATCAATGTCCACTCAGCATATCACACATTTATAATTCAGAATATCCGTAGCCATTGAGGCTAACACAACACAATTGAAGTGGACAATGATATAATACAAACAGACTTTTAATTTGCCTCCAACATAATTACGATAACTACAGAGAATAAAGCAAAATAATTATTCATCAATCTTGTTGAGGGTTGGACTTGAGCTATTAAGATATTATCAGCATAATATTGTTGATGAGCCTTAAATCTGATCTGTGGGTTGGGCATCTAGACATTTGTTTTGATGCTGAAACACAGACTATGACGAGGTTCAGTGATGGGTTTATCCTGAAGGAGTCAGTGATGGCTGCTCTTACCTAGGTCCTTCAGCTGCTGGACGTTGTCATACTGGGGGTGAGATCGCAGGTAGAACTGGCAGCTCATGAATGCAGAATCTGACAAAGAAACAGAATGTTCATTCAACATCCACATGTAGCCTGATGACAGAAACCTGACAACATCCTTACAAGTGTTACCCGACAACAACAGCATTCACATCAACATCATTGGGGAAAACTGGACCAGAATCTAAAGAAACTGGACCAGAAACTAGAGAAACTGGACCAGAAAAGAAAGCCCTAGAACTTACCTCTCACTGCTATTATTTTCTGCTGCTTTTCTCTCTCCATTTTCTCTGAGAGGGCAACATCATACTCTCCGATCCGTTGATACGGAAACTTGTACCTGTTCCTGGAGGAAGAAAGCAGTATCCATGGTAACATAAAACCGAGAAAACAGTGAAGCTTTGTCACACTATCATTTGTGTGCAAGGTGCAGTGAGTGTGACACAATCAGGATAGATCTACCTAGTGTGCATGGGGCAGTGGCAGTGACACAATCAGGATAGATCTACCTAGTGTGCGAGGTGCAGTGGCAGTGACACAATCAGGATAGATCTACCCAGTGTGCATGGGGCAGTGGCGGTGACACAATCAGGATAGATCTACCTAGTGTGCATGGTGCAGTGGCAGTGACACAATCAGGATAGATCTACCCAGTGTGCATGGGGCAGTGGCAGTGACACAATCAGGATAGATCTACCCAGTGTGCATGGTGCAGTGGCAGTGACACAATCAGGATAGATCTACCTAGTGTGCGAGGTGCAGTGGCAGTGACACAATCAGGATAGATCTACCTAGTGTGCGAGGTGCAGTGGCAGTGACACAATCAGGATAGATCTACCCAGTGTGCATGGGGCAGTGGCAGTGACACAATCAGGATAGATCTACCTAGTGTGCGAGGTGCAGTGGCAGTGACACAATCAGGATAGATCTACTCAGTGTGCATGGGGCAGTGGCAGTGACACAATCAGGATAGATCTACCCAGTGTGCATAGTGCAGTGACACAATCAGGATAGATCTACCCAGTGTGCATAGTGCAGTGGCTGTGACACAATCAGGATAGATCTACCCAGAGTGCATGGTGCAGTGGCAGTGGCGGTGACACAATCAGGATAGATCTACCTAGTGTGCACGGTGCAGTGGCCGTGACACAATCAGGATAGATCTACCCAGTGTGCAAGGTGTAGTGGCAGTGACACAATCAGGATAGACCTACCTAGTGTGCACGGTGCAGTGGCCTTGACACAATCAGGATAGATCTACCTAGTGTGCACGGTGCAGTGGCCTTGACACAATCAGGATAGATCTACCCAATGTGCATGGTGCAGTGGCCATGACACAATCAGGATAGATCTACCTAGTGTGCAAGGTGAAGTGGCAGTGGCCATGACACAATCAGGATAGACCTACCCAGTGTGCACGGTGCAGTGGCAGTGACACAATCAGGATAGATCTACCCAGTGTGCAAGGTGTAGTGGCCGTGACACAATCAGGATAGATCTACCCAGTGTGCAAGGTGTAGTGGCAGTGACACAATCAGGATAGACCTACCTAGTGTGCACGGTGCAGTGGCCTTGACACAATCAGGATAGATCTACCTAGTGTGCACGGTGCAGTGGCCTTGACACAATCAGGATAGACCTACCTAGTGTGCAAGGTGCAGTGGCCATGACACAATCAGGATAGATCTACCTAGTGTGCAAGGTGAAGTGGCAGTGGCCATGACACAATCAGGATAGACCTACCCAGTGTGCAGGGGGCAGTGGCAGTGACACAATCAGGTTAGATCTACCCAGTGTGCAGGGGGCAGTGGCCGTGACACAATCAGGATAGATCTACCAAATGTGCAGGGTGCCGTGGCCATGACACAATCAGGATAGATCTACCTAGTGTGCATGGTGCAGTGGCCGTGACACAATCAGGATAGATCTACCTAGTGTGCATGGTGCAGTGGCAGTGGCACAATCAGGATAGATCTACTCAGTGTGCATGGTGCAGTGACACAATCAGGATAGATCTACCCAGTGTGCATGGGGCAGTGGCGGTGACACAATCAGGATAGATCTACCCAGTGTGCATGGTGCAGTGGCCTTGACACAATCAGGATAGATCTACCCTGTGTGCATGGTGCAGTGGCAGTGGCACAATCAGGATAGATCTACTCAGTGTGCATGGGGCAGTGGCAGTGACACAATCAGGATAGATCTACCTTGTGTGCACGGTGCAGTGACACAATCAGGATAGATCTACCCAGTGTGCATGGTGCAGTGGCCATGACATAATCAGGATAGATCTACCCAGTGTGCATGGTGCAGTGGCGGTGACACAATCAGGATAGATCTACCCAGTGTGCATGGTGCAGTGGCCATGACATAATCAGGATAGATCTTCTCAGTGTGCATGGTGCAGTGGCGGTGACACAATCAGGATAGATCTACCCAGTGTGCATGGTGCAGTGGCAGTGACACAATCAGGATAGATCTACTCAGTGTGCATGGTGCAGTGACACAATCAGGATAGATCTACCTTGTGTGCATGGGGCAGTGACACAATCAGGATAGATCTACCCAGTGTGCATGGTGCAGTGACACAATCAGGATAGATCTACCCAGTGTGCATGGGGCAGTGGCAGTGACACAATCAGGAACACTAATGATTTACAGTTGGCAGTGTCAAGTATGGCAGAATGGATGAAAAAATTTACGTTTTCACTGCTCATTTTCACTAGTAATTTGTTTGGTGTAACATTTATTAAAGAATACATCTAAAGTAAGAATCGATACTGTTTTCTTAGTGTGTGATTGTGAGCTATACTATCCATCAGTGTATCGTCCCACTACTAAGATCATCCCAGGGCAGTATCAGTGATATGATCGGGTTAGATCTACCAAGGGTAGTGGCAGTGACATGATCAGGTAAGATCTACCAAGGGTAGTGGCAGTGACATGATCAGGGTAGATCTACCAAGGGTAGTGGCAGTGACATGATCAGGGTAGATCTACCAAGGGTAGTGGCAGTGACATGATCAGGGTAGATCTACCAAGGGTAGTGGCAGTGACATGATCAGGGTAGATCTACCAAGGGTAGTGGCAGTGACATGATCAGGGTAGATCTACCAAGGGTAGTGGCAGTGACATGATCTGGGAAGATCTACCAAGGGTAGTGGCAGTGACATGATCAGGGTAGATCTACCAAGGGTAGTGGCAGTGACATGATCGGGGAAGATCTACCAAGGGTAGTGGAAGGTGACATGATCAGGGTAGATCTACCCAGGGTAGTGGCAGTGATATGATCAGGGTAGATCTACCCAGGGTAGTGGCAGTGACATGATCGGGGAAGATCTACCCAGGGTAGTGGCAGTGATATGATCGGGGAAGATCTACCCAGGGTAGTGGAAGGTGACATGATCGGGGTAGATCTACCCAGGGTAGTGGCAGTGATATGATCAGGGTAGATCTACCAAGGGTAGTGGAAGGTGACATGATCAGGGTAGATCTACCAAGGGTAGTGGCAGTGATATGATCGGGGAAGATCTACCCAGGGTTGTGGCAGTGACACGATCGGGGTAGATCTACCCAGGGTAGTGGCAGTGATATGATCGGGGTAGATCTACCCAGGGTAGTGGCAGTGACATGATTGGGGTAGATCTACCCAGGGTAGTGGCAGTGACATGATCGGGGTAGATCTACCCAGGGTAGTGGAAGGTGACATGATCGGGGTAGATCAACCCAGGGTAGTGGCAGTGACATGATCGGGGTAGATCTACCCAGGGTAGTGGCAGTGACATGATCAGGGTAGATCTACCCAGGGTAGTGGCAGTGACATGATCGGGGTAGATCTACCCAGGGTAGTGGCAGTGACATGATCTGGGTAGATCTTACCAGGGCAGTTGCAGTGACACGATCAGGATAGATCTACCCAGGGTAGTGGCAGTGGCATGATTGGGGTGGCTCTACCCAGGGCAGTATCAGTGACATGATCGGGGTGGCTCTACCCAGGGTAGAATAAGGGACATGATGGGGACTCACCTACATTTGTGGACACAGCACATCAGTGACATGATCGGGGTAGATCTACCCAGGGCAGTATCAGTGACATGATCGGGGTGGCTCTACGCAGGGTAGAATCAGTGACATGATGGGGACTCACCTACACTTGCGGACACAGCACCAGACAATGACAGCAATGATGGCCACCAACGCCAGTCCACCGAGGATCGGCACCTGCAACAGATGACACAATGTACTCCCCTCCTCTTTATAGGTTGGGTAATATTACTCTTAAACACATATTCATAACATTCTTAGTTCACATGTTAGGCTTTGGGGGCTGTGGGGTAGCCTAGTGGTTAAAGTGTTGCTCATCACTCCGAAGTCCCGAGTTTGATTCCCCACATGGGTACAATGTGTGAAGCCCATTTCTGGTGTTCCCCGCTGTAACATTGCTGAAATATATTGCTAAAAGTGGCGTAAAACCATTCTCACTCACTCACTCACGTTAGGGACCCGTGAAGATCCGGGGTAGAATAGGTCTTCAAGCAACCCATGCTTGCAGTAAAAAGCGACTATGCTTGTCGTAAGAGGCGACTAATGGCATAGGGTGGTCAGATTCCCTGTCTTGGTTGATGCATGTCATCGATCCAAATTGCGTGGATCAATGCACAATCACTGGATTGTCTGGTCCAAACTCGATTACCTTACAGACCGCCATCACATAGCTGTAATATTGCTGAGTGCGGCGTTAAACAACAAACCAACCACGTTAGGATTTGGCTGACGCGTACAAATTTCACACAAAATGGTCTAGGGCTGGCCTGGGATATAACATGTGATGGACTTCCTCCATTGCAAAATCGTCTTATTGTTTTTGAAACAAAGAACCGCCATTATCCTGCTTATCCTCCAGTCCTATCCAGTGTTCAGGCTGACCACACAGACTAGGGAGGCTTCAAGGAACTAAGGTAACCTAGGAATCATCTAAGATTAATACTGGATAGACTATGAGCACAGATCATGATAGATATACAAGATATTGACATAGGTATTACATGGTATAACCTTAATCACTGTTGATATATAAGAATTGACTTTCACTTTATGTGAGTTAACTGGAGTATGAACCTTAGAATGAGAGCCAAACTGTATATGAATGTCAGTTCTGCAGTCATGTGGCCAGTCTCTCTTCCAAAGGAAAAGCCATATATTGTGTCAAACTTCAAATCAAAAAATTATATTCAGAAACATATTACATAAAGAAATGAAATCATCATGTTACCAGTGTTCCTGCTGGTTTTTGAAACCACCAGTCCCAGAGGACTGCAACTCTGAAAGTTACCAGTGCAACTCAATTTTGTCAGTCCCAGAACAAATGAAAATCATATGAAAAATACCTGATTTTAATTCTTTCAACATCAATTTCAATGCAGTGTACTTTCATGGCTGACAAACTCAGTGACGTCATTTCTGAAGTAACTTATTTACATCCATACGTCATTCAATTGCAATCTTCTCTTTTTTATTCTGAATATTTCACTTTAGTTCAAGACTAATTCGCTACAAATACATATTAAACCTCAAAACAAAGCGACATATTATCTCTTTGCATTATTTCCGTTCGAAAATATAATTTAAAGACAATCGTCAATGTTTTGTTTAACAACAAAGATTAACAAGATACCTGATTTGCCGGTCCATAGGGATACAAGAATTAATTATCCAAGTCTAATTTTACTGGTAAAAAACTGGTAATTATCGGTAAATGGGAACACTGGTTACATGTGTCTGTACTGTATAAGCAATGCATCGTCTATGTATACCAGAACCATGATAACAAAATAATTCTTGGAAGGAGCCAGAAAGAGGTGGTGAACACAACCTGCCTTTATTCGTTGTTGTCTAGCTTATTAAATCATGATAAACAAGGACCACTGGACCACCCAGCATGGAGGTTGAATAATTGGTATTTCCAAAAAGAATTTTGGCTTATGTAACCCTAGGTTTCTGTGGTGTTGTTGCCTTCTATCTTGCCACTTACTGGGGTCGATTTAACTGCCGGCCCGTTGGCCTGTGGCCAGTTAAAATGGCTTGCTGACATATAAAGCAAGTCAAACTTTCACCCAATGTCACTCAATAAACATCTTGGCACAATGACACAACCGGCGGCCATTTTGTAATGTTGTATACAACAGCATCTTTATTTGCTCATAAATCGCCCCATTATGAGGCAAATGAAAGCCAACATTTAATCTCTGAATGCAGGAAAATATGTCTTAGGGATGAGGAGTTCTAAATGTTTCAGAGCCCCCTGGGTATCTCTGTCGTGGCCTCCAACATTCAGTTGTCGGCCAGTTAGTTTGGTGAAGGGCCAGTAACTTTTGAAAGGAGCAAGCCCCGCTGGCTACACACGAATTTGTTGTTAAATCTACCCATGCACTTAGTCTCACAACTCCTTGGGATAATGTAACTATTCAAATCATAAGCCAGGTTTGCTTGTTCCAGTCCATTTATTTAGATATAAGGAGCTCTTTTTAAAATAAGATCCTCCAACGTGTTTCTGGGCAGCCTGTCAGACATGTGCACAATACTTTGCTGGATGATGAATGGAGGAGTCTGGCTGCAATTTTACAACAATCTTTGTCTTTGTGATCCGATTTTCAGAGCTACAATGAGGGATTTATCTAGGGTTCTTAACTAAGTGCCCTTGGCAAGCAAATTAGGAAAAACACACTATTTTATTTAAAATTGGGATTGGTAAAGTTCTTATTTTCCTAAATTCTATGATATTTAAACATTGCATTCCCTACAATATTGCATTACTAAGCATTCTACCATGAATTTGGAATTGACTCCATTCTGATTGGTCAATCAGAGGCTATTAAATCACAATAAACCCCCTCTGATTGAAACAGCTGGTTTGACGGCCACATCACCGCGGAAGCTAATATTCATAGAATAGTACTATTTTCAGTCATTGTCGGTAGGCATATTTAAATAATTATATCTACAATTACAGGTTACAAAATGCACAGATTACCTGGAGATTTAACCGTGCTAAATTTAACATTTGAAACCTCACGCTGCGCGTTCGGTTCCAAATTCAATTTAGTGGGGTTAAATCTCCAGGTAACCTAGCTCTACATTGAAAACACAATATGTTTATCTCCTAATTAAACCTCTTCCTTTTTATTGGTTCTGTTGTCTGTGAAACGCAAGTCAGTTCTTCAAAGCCATAACATTAGTTAGAACTATTTCAACATGAATTAGGACATTTTTTATTCCAATTTGAGATTACCGACATTTGCTGCAGACTAGAGGCCAAACATCGACCTCTGTGCAGGCTGAGATAAATACCTGGAGAGCCTTCTTGGTCAGTGATGAGTGTCAGACCCTGCACCACTCTCTAACAACCAACCATATATCAGTCATTGGGCATTGTGCCAAGTTCGTTTAAGAGTCCCAAATTCTTATCATGTTTATGTCACACTAACAAATCTCCTTTCCGTCAATCTCCAAACTCAATATCAACGTTATAAAACTCATCCTTCCCAAAACCGCACCTCAACTTCACCCTAAGGTCATCTATTACCCAACCCTTCCTTCCTAATGTGATCCTCAATCTAACATTAAGTTTATCTGTTAAGCATTAAACATTTATTGCCTATTTTGATACTCCAACATTGTTCAATGTACAAGTGATGTGGTGCTATCACACAGAGACTTGTTACCTGTGCATGTTAATGATTTGTTTGTTTGTTTGCTTGCTGTTTAACGGCGCACCCAGCAATAATTCAGTTATATGATGGCGGTCTGTAAATAATTGAGTCTGGACAAGACAACCCAGTGACTGATATGAGCATCGATCCATGCAATCGGGATACGATGACATGCGCCAACCAAGTCAGCGTGCCTGACCACCCGATCCCGTTAGTCGCCTTTTACGACAAGCATATAGTCACCTTTTACGACATGCCTGGCTTGCTGAAGACCTATTCTAACCCAGATATCAAGCGAGGTGTTGGTGAGCTGATCAATAAACCATTACATGTGTTATGCTAGATATCACACTTCACATGGCAATCAAAATACATTGATTAGATTGTTGAAACCTACTAGAGATAAGAACACTTGCACCAGAAGGCATGGCTAGAATGTAACACTAGCCTGGGACTAGTTCATATTTTCCAATTTCCCCATTGTTTTCACATTACAAGGGCATTTTATCTTTACCTGGGGTATTAAAGTTTTTGAGATTAGTTCTAATCCAGGAGGGGGTAGGTATCTTAGAGGAAGTTGATATTTACAATGTGTATGGGGAGTTAGAAGATAGGATACATTTCCTAAAGTGCTTGGCCATGTTCACTTTGACAGTAGTGTAGCGTTCATAAAATTTCCGAGTCCCGTGATGGGATTCGAACTTCAGACCTTCTGATCAGAGGTCGGACGCCTTGTCCACATGACCAAAGAGGTTAACCCCATCAGCAAGCTGACAAGGTAAGGATGTCATCTGTGGGATGACTCCACACCCTGCTACATACTTCCCCATAAACAGAAGTCACGTCCCCATGGTCCCGGGCGGCATAATAGGGTACTGAGACTTATTTTGCTCAAGTTGAATAATAACGTGCTCAGGCCCCACCTTGGGCGCCAATATAGCGGCCATAAAATTTCAGAGTCCTGTGGTGGGATTAAAACCTCAGACCTTCTGATCAGAGGTCGGACGCCTTGTCTACATGACCAAAGAGGTTAACCCCGTCAGCAAGCTGAGAAGGTAAGGATGTCATTTGTAGGATGACTCATCATGCTCATTCCCACCTACACACTGGTACATACATAGAGATGTTGAAAGACCATGGGTGATGCCCCAAGTCCAACTACTGGTGGCACCTGTTTTGTGTCTTGATGTGACCATATATGAGAAAGTATGTGCATGGGTGGCTTCCTGTGTTGATTGTCAGTCAGCAAAGAGGCAAATCCATGCCAGTGCCGTAGCCAGCCGGGGGGGCAGTTGCCCCCCTAGATTTTTTATAGAAAACAGTTCTATTTGAATCAAGTTGGGGACAAGTGATACTTGTACAAATATTTGTTCCCCCTGTCAAAAAAAGTTAACTACGGCCTTGCATGCAAAGCTGGCATTGCTGCAGCCTCTACCAGTGGTAGATGTGGTAGATGTGTCACAAGCAGCCTTATTTCTACTTTTATCCATCTTAAGGCTGCGCCTCCACTGTCTACATATAAGGTGCTGTATGTGCTACCCATACCTGCCTTAACACCTAATTCACTAGCTTCTACCTGTGACGTCATGACAATTTGGATGTAAGTCGATTGTCACCTGTCAGCCTGGTAGGATGGTTGACAGCAATCAACACCTTTCTGATGTTATGTTTCTTGTTACAGGTAAGCACTCCCCTTATATAGGAATAATACTAATACCACCACATGTATATATACTGAACCACAAAAGAAACGTCACTATGGATAGATATATGAGAAACCTTATTTGTCCAAACACTCTAAACATACTTTGAGACATATTAAAAAGATGAAACTTGGCAAAACTGATCATCAAGGTTGAAATTAAAGTGTCAAATGTTCTTAAAGTGAAACACAACACTAGTCTCTGAGTAAATGGCATTACAAGTCAGTATCTCTTGTGTCCACCATGTGCATTGATGACTGCCATGCAACGTCGATATATGGAATGGATGAGGTGGTTGATGAAGACCATAGGCACTTCAGCCCACACTCTGAGGAACGCCTGACGCAGTTCAGCTGCAATTGTCGGCCTTGATCGGACGTCACTCTGCCGTCTTTAAATCTCGCCCCACAGGTGCTCAATGGGATTTAAATTGGGACTGAGGACAGGCCTCTCATGGTTCTGATGCCATTCTGCTGGAGGAAGTCTCTCGTTGCTCTCACAGTGTGGGCACGGACGTTATCATGCTGAAACTCGTGGTTGCGGCGACATGCCAAATGAGGTAAGGCGTAAGGTCTCAAGACTTGATCAATGTTCAGAGCTGCTGTGACACCATTGCCTCTCCCTGGACTGATGTTCTGGAAGACCACAGGGCCGACCCCCTGTGCAAGACCAATTCCACCCCACACCATGATGCTCGGACCACCCCACGAGTCTCTCTCAACAACACAAGCATCCGAATAACGTTCCCCACGGCATCACCAGACTATCTCTCTGCCATCTGCTGTTGAGATACAGTAACAGCTCTCATCTGAGAAGAGGACTCTTCCTCCACTGCTGGTGGCGCCAATGCTGGTGATGTGTTGCCCACTGAAGACAGTCCTGGCGATGACGTCACAATAGGCCCTCAGTGTGGCCTGTAACAGTGGAGGTGTCTGCTCGTCAGTCATCGACGCACAGTGACGCAATGTGTCGCTGATGTGTCCCCATGGTCTGTCGAGCAGTTTCTGCAGCAGTAACAAAGCGACCTTGAAGATACTGTCGCACAATCTGATGATCCTGATGTCGGGTGGTGACCCTGGGTCTTCCACTACGTGGTCGGTCATCTGTAGTGTTGGTGGTCTGGTACAGTTGCTGGAGCCTGTATATGGTACTAACGGGGACTTGCAATGCATGTTGTCCAGCTTGCAATCGTCCAAGGGCTTGGTGTTGCTGATTTCTTGTCAATCTTGGCATGTGGTAGCAATTTAATAACGAATGAATGTTATCCAATCCGGGTGGATTTTTATGGGGCAAGAAATGGGGGAACGCATGTGCATTTCAATTTGCATGGAACTCGCGTGCATTGGGTTACCATGGCCGTTGCTGTGATGCGTTTGGGCGATGGGTTTTATTGTCACCTGCTTTGTTTTTTTATCATCAAATTTCATTTTCCAGACAAGGTAATGTTAAATGTTAAAAACTTTGACAAGCATTACCCAGATATTCAAATGACAACTTTTCATGCAATGTTACTTGGGGTGATGTTTCTTTTGTGGTTCAGTATATGTTTCATATTTTAATACCATATTCAATCTCATTAAAATCTGATCTAAATTCTCGCTACCGTTAAACAGAGATTTGAGGACATCCCATTATGGGTCACGTCAGAACGACCTTTTTGCGAACTTTGACCGACGACTGAAACAACTAACAAGAAGTCGACATCAGCCAATTAGAAAGCAGCTTTCTCATGTTTTACGGCATTTGTTTCAACCTGGCGACTTCCATTTCACGCTTGAAAAATATGTTGACACGAACATTCCAGAATATCTAATATATGGTTGCGATTGTATGGCAGGGCTTCCCATGTACTGTGCAATGCAGTTCAAATGTTTATCCCACAGAAGCGAGAGACAGACAATAATTTTGACGGAATCAGTCGTACGGGCCATAACTGTCGTTCGGAATACCCCGTGTTAACATTTTTGAGGTTGCGTGATCAGAAAACGCATTCCGACTGTCACTTTCATGATCTGGTAAACAATGCTTTGATTGATCAGATGAAAGGTTGTTCTGACATGACCCGTAATGGGATGTCCTCAGATCTTTGTTTAGCGATAGCGAGATCTGATCTTTATGAGATTGATACCATAATATACCAAAAACACTATTTTATGAATCACTGACTTCGTGCCGTAAATGTGACATCAGTATATTATCGCATTAGAAAACGCACTAGCATGCATAGCCAATCAGTGCTTATATATATTTTGCCTATTTTACATCTATCATAATTTCATATATCATATATAATATGGACATTCAATTGTCACCTGTGAGCCTGGTAGGATGGCCAACAGTAATTAAAACCTTTCTGCATGAAGTTTTTTGTTACAGGCAAATAAATACATTTTAATGAACTCCGTTTTCAAATACTTGTCTGGGACAACTCGAAGCCTGACCCTGCGTAAGATGTTTCACAGAGGTGGCATGTTGACCTCATACGGCCACGGAAAGAATCACCAAAGGATTCAAGTAAATCATTCAAAGTGGCCAGGCTGCATTCCATTAAAAAACAAGGAGTCATTTGAAGTCAAAACTTGAAGTTCAAGAACATGTTGGATCGTAGAGGTAAATGGTATAAAGTCTGACATGCAGATATCTCAAACAGAGAACAGGTTCAAGTTAATTACTCCCATCACAAATTGTGGAGGACTTCCACATCACAAGGCCAATGACCGGGAAGGTGAAGAAAAGAACCAAAAAAGAACGATCAGACAACGTATTGGGAAATATATCAACCAGGTACTTGGACAAGTGATATGTAATTGTAGTCCCAAGTTGATATGACACGTGTCAAATCATGTGGGTACCCAGTGCGGAAATAGAATATGATAACAAAGTCAGGGAGGTAACATGCCTATGCAGTTATGAATTGATGATAAAGCTGTAGAGATAACATGCCTACACAGTTATGCAATGTCGACAAAGATGTAAAGGGAACATGCCTACGATTATTTGAAGATGTTAAACACATGACAAGATGCCTATGCTGTTTCAAGGAATGAGAGCTCAAGTCTAGAGATGCCTTGCAGTCTCCAGTAGTGAGATAGATATGTCTCTACCTCAAGTTGCTGAGTATATTGAGGACAGTCAAAAGACTAATGATGAATTTACCCATGACAGAGGACAGAGGGTCAATTTCTCACGTAGCCAGGTTGAAGACCTCCAAATTGGTCATGGATTGCAGATGATTGGCCAATTATATTTTATATCCTGTACATGAATGTTCTTTTCGCGCAGTCACATAGTGAATGATATTTACCTAATGTTGAAAGGAATCTATCCAGAAGGATTCTGGAATATTATGGTGGAATCTGATGACTGAACATATTTTGTTTGATGTTTTGGAGATCCCAACTGAGCATTACATAATGTTTCAAATAAAGAGCCGCCCAATGACTCATCATTACAGGAAGACTACTAGAAATCACATGTCACCAAGATACAGCAGAGATAACAAGAGCCTGTGTTAGGAGTTCCACTGTTATTATGAACTATTGCTTGATGACAACCATGAACTTGATAACCATGATTAAGAAGTTCAGGTACATTTACTAAACACTGCTAAAAACATTTTTCAGAAAACATTTTCCGTTTTCTGAAACTTATTAAAGCCTAGGGTTATTTAGGTTCCTTGCACTCCATTGCCTGTTGTGAGATAAGGGGTCAGGGTCAGTGAGTGTCTTGAGTGATTGGTGATTGTGTTGCATTGTGCCCTGAGGGCTGGGATCTTTGCTCATGCTTTCAGTCACTAGTTTGCCTGGACCAGATTTGGTTACTTACAGACCGCCGTGATGTAGCTGGAATATTGCGACGTTGAACAACCTTAAAAGCCATGGCATATTTCTTGGAAGCTGTAATCAGCTGAAAATGATTGTTCAGTTCAATGTCTTCTCTTGTAAACATTTAAAGATCAAAAAGTATTTGGGCAACAATATTTTCACAAAAATAAAGAAACTTAACGGTGACAAACATTGCATTTTCACCTGTCAAAAATGAGCTTCCCGTTATTCTTCGCATGATTGACAGTTTGTTGCTCACTCGCAAAGATTTCCAAGACAATAAATACATGATATTAACTTTTGAGTGGAATGACAGCTAACAAAGGATTTTCATGCAAAAATTCGATGAATCTGATGAAAGTCAAAAGACTTGCACGACAAATGGCTACTAGATCAAAATGTGATTCCTTTCTACCAGAACAACGCCACTAACGGAGCAGCATATAGCGTTTCGCATTTTACGTGATGTCATGTGTCATTACATAACCCAACTTCGTGGGCCATTGATCACCGTGAATGGCAGGACAGCCAAAGATTGCGACCTGTTATGCGTTACGTAATATCCTGGTGCTTGTCGCGACCGCGGGGTTCCTACTCACATATAGGTGTTCGTCGAGCCACGGCAGAATGTCTACCATCTTGACTGGTTATCCTCGTCCACAGAAGTTGTAAAAACTATGTCCTTCACCCGCATGACAGGCTCCGCGACCTCAAAACGCCATCACGTGTGTCGCCATCTTGTTTGTTTTCCTCGTGACCTGTCACGTGATTGACAATTAAGGTAACGAGTGATCACGTGAAGCACTCATATAATATACCTTCGAGGTTTGTCCTTGCATGTAGCCTCGTTGTTGTATAACCCCTTTGTGCTTCTATTTAAAATATTTATCGTTATATAATTAAACGGATACTATAACAAAAAAGGAATTTATTTTCATTTCGGAATTGAAGTATAGGCTCGAGACCAGGCGGACATAAATCGTCCTAATTTCGTGTCAGTAACGTCAGGGTTATTTGCATAAGACATTAGTAAGTGAGTCTGGTTTTACGCCGCTTTTAGCAACATTCCAGTAATAACACGGCGGGGGGCACAGAGATTGGCTTGTGGGGAATAGAACCCGAGCGAACGGTTTAACCACTATATATACTACCCGACCGCCCCATAAAACACTAAGTTCGATATGAGGTAGTGATTAGAGATCTCTGTGGAAGTTAGACACTCCAAAAGAAAAATCTCAATAAATGATCGATCCATGAAGTGAATGAAACATCTGTATTTGTATGTATCTTATTACGTTATGGACAACGTCTGCTCGTGGGTTTCACCGAAGTGGTAAACGTCTGAGACCTGCATCACTTCGGGCTTTCCTCCCACATTAAGCTGACACGCCGCGATATAACTGGAATACTGTTAAAAGCGGCGTTAAACCCAACTCACTCACTCACTTAATGGACAATTTCACACACACACACACACACACACACACACACACACACACACACACACACACACAGACGATGTGTATAATATTCATTGCATTTCAAGTGCATGACCTTTCAATGTTCTGTGGGTCAAATTACCAATACGGCCGATATATATATATATATATAGATATATAGTGCTCAATGCATGACGCACCCTGAATGATAGGCGCTATTGACAACCGGCGATATCGTGACAAGGCAAGTTGGTGATGCGGTGATGACATCCATGTGATGTTCAGTTCCCACACATCATGTGCCATGACTGGCGTTCATTTAAAGCTAGTAACAAGATACCTGGTTTGTAGAACTGCTACAGATTGAAATAATATAATGAGTAAAAATGAGATAGATTCCTTCATTTATGAGGATGGAGTGTGATCTTTTATTTCATCGCCATAATCACCTATTATTCTAGCTATTTCACGGCGACTGTTAATCAAACCACGACTTCATCAAAAGATAATGTTTTATCATTATTGTAACCGGGTTTTCTTGGCTTTATCCATTTTATATCTATATCTATATCTATATCTATATCTATATATATACAGACGACACCAAGACGGCTACGGGTGTGAGGCTTATGTTTATTTGTGAATAATCACGATGGACACCCTGTAATTAAGAAACAACAGATAATATAACATAAGCATATTAAAACGTAATATATATCATATAATCATCAAAGCAATCATTTCGGTTACAGTACTTACAACTAAGTATTATTAGATGATATGATAGAAATGGCTTACAGTACATATTAAGTAAAATGGTTACACATACCCTATGTGTGGCACAAGGGTGTGAAGCGTGATACCATTCAAATGTCACCGTTCATGACATGTCCTGCAGCAGAAAGAGCAGGAATAAATACTTCGAGTGACTAAATACAATGAAATGAATAACAAAACGCATACTTTGTGCACTTCCATTATTGTAGAAATAACGTAGCATGTATACAAGATAATATTAAAATACACTATTGCTTAGGTTAAAGTTCAGCCTCTAAAACATTCATTCAAAACATCAACATTAATAGAAATATATGATTCAATGTAAATATGATAATTACTTATAAATACTTATTTATAATGCATAATCTTTGATCACCATTTAATCCTATTTGGAAGTCAAGACAAATTATAAACTAACTTTTGTGGTGATCTACGAATACTCCCAATGCAGTGCATAGTGAAGGTGGCAATATGGAGTTTGTCAGAGCAAGAAGGTAAAGTTTGAATTTGGCCAATCACAGGATAGCTTGGGATGTGATTGATCAATAGAGAGCTGGACTTAGAATGATGTGATAAAAACACACCTCTGTTGAATATAGTTCAACAGAAAAAAAACTTGAAATAAATTTATTTACCAAAAAAAATATACAAATATATACACCTGCGACATTATGCAAATTTAGTCTGGTGACTACAAACAAACTGCACCACTCAAAGGTATTATGAGAACTCCACATGTGAACTTGAACCGTTTGACTTTGTGGTCAGTTACAGGGAAAACGCTTCAGGAAAGTTATTAAACAGTTGAAACTGTCCGTATATCTGATCTGATCAAGGTAAAATGTCGTTCAGACTTCTGTTAACCTGATGCTATAATCATTAGGTATAATAGCCGTCCAGTCTGCAGGAACATATACTTGACCACTGGGGCGCAATACCCAAAAGCCGTATAGCCCACTCGCTGTCTCCATTGTAGACGTGAACGATGAAGTCGTCGTCTCAACAATATTAACAACGTCTGTTGTGCCCTAAATAAACGTCCAACGCCGTCGGAGTACGAAAACGTGTTTCATCCTCGTCACCCTACCAGCAGCAACCAGCCCCGTTCCACAAAGCGATCGACCCGTGAAGATCTGGGGATGAATAGGTCTTCATCAACCCATACTTGCTGCAAAAGGCGATTATGCTTGTCTTAAGTAGTGACTAACGGGATCGGGTGGTCAGGCTCGCTGACTTTGTTAATGCATGTCATCGTATCCCAATCGCGAGGATCGATGCTCATGATGTCAATCTCACTGGATTGCCTAATCCAGCATTGATTATTTACAGACCGCCGTCATATAGCTGGAATATTGCTGAGTACGGCGTTAAACAACAAACAAACAAACACAAAGCGACCGCAAAGCTACGACTGTCGTAAGCATATATGCAAAAACATAGGAGTTACGATAACCTTGGCGATACGATAGCCTAGTGGGACGGGGCCCTGAACCCTGATTCATCAGACGCCATGTTGGAATACTTCTTCCCCGTAATCCCCTCGGGTCAGATATAAGACTTTATTTAATTAATTATAGAGGGCTGTAAACACAGCGTCACAAAGCGTCACATTGTACACAGCCACCTTTCACCCCTGCCGGGGATTTCTGAGGCACATTACATAAGACTGACGTATCACCCACGGTATAGTGAGTTTATATAACGTGAACAGTCTTCTTTGTGTGCACTGGTTTGGCGTTATGAAACATATAGTGAAGGCAAATGCGCGACACGGATAAACAAGGAAAACCTTCAAATACTATCTGACGGACCAGCTTTTCACTGTTCAGGAGGATTCAACTGCACTGGATGCGGTTTTAATTAGAGGGATATAATGTCTTTATTACATACTCGCTTCATATTATTCATATCTCGGTTCATATATATATTGTACATACACGCAAGCATGCACGCACTCACGCACGCACACACGAATGCTCGCACATACAAATCAGGTCTTTTATTTGATTTGAACATTTGCAGTCACGTACATCAAGACTTTCGGGCATCTCCTTGGACCAGCACGGGCATTCGTCGCCACTCGCCCCTTTCCGTAACCTGCTATTCGGCTTGTCCCGCGGAATAACACGAGTTGGTCACGAATGCAGCACGGGCTGCCAGTCAAGATCCCGGTTAGAATAGGTCTGCACCAACCCATGCTTGCCGTAAGGGGCGACTATGCGTGTCGTAAGATGCGACTAATGGGATTGGGTGGTCAGGCTCGCTGACATGGTTGATGCATGTCATCGTATCCCAATTGCGACAATCGATGCTCATAATGTCAATCACTGGATTGTCTGGTCCAGAATCGATTATTTACAGACCGCCGTCATATAGCTGAAACAATTACTGAGTGCGGCGATAAAAAACAAACACACAGATTATGAAGTGACATATACAGATTCTTTCAGATTAGAATGTTAAAAAGACATATGATACTAATTCAGGACAAAAATAAAATAAAATATCGTTCGAAAGAGTATCACCAACTACATATTTAAAGCAATATTAGGGCAACCTTAAAATCTGAATTGCCGAAAATACAACCAATGATCTCAATTTGATATTCAAAGGAAATAGGGATTCACCAGAACAAGATAACATACAAATGTTCAATTATGTACATATTTATATACGCAATACACAGAGATTTATGTGAACTATTTTTTCTCACTGTTCACTTATCTTTCCTTCTGTTCCGTGCATGTTTAGTACCATCTGTAAATCAGTTGTGTAAATATCTGGGAGAAGGTGTCCTAAGTTGGAGAACTTATACCCAATCCCATTCACTTTTTGTGAATAAAATACTGTCACGTGAATAAAACTGTCACTTATCTATCAACTGCTAAAGCAGAGAAGTTTAGCGTCACAGGATACGTTTTATAACATACTTAAGTTTGAAAGAGAAAGAGTGTGAAGTTGAGCAAAGTGATACACGGATGGTGTAATTTACGTTTCCGATCTCGTCACAAAACTCGAGTAGCCATTTCCGCCACTTCCTAGGCTCTCTGCTGCAACTTGAAGAACGCCCATCACTTGTCAGCAGGCAGCAATTGTTCTCTCTTGCAAACTGAGTCAATCTTATCTATCCACACCCAATCCATCTTCCCGAGGCAAGGGAGTTAACTGACTATAAAAGTCCAGTTTCCTCGTGGAAACTGGTAGTATGGTATGGCATGGTATTTGGGTTTTAGAGCAACCTGGACCATTGCACCCAACACATCAAATGACTTTAAACAAGAGCAAAGAGAGTAAAGGAAATGAGATGATTAACCAATCTGCTTCATGTTTGTTTGTTTGTTGTTTAACGCCGCACTCCAGCTATATGACGGCGGTCTGTAAATAATCGAGTCTGGACCAGACAATCCAGTGATTGACATCACGAGCTTCGATCCACGCAATTGGGCTAGCCCAATTCCGTTAGTCGCCCCTTTCAAAAAGCATAGTCGCCTTTTACGGCAAGCATGGGTTACTGAAGACCTATTTGGACCCGGATCTTCACGG